TTGATAAGGTCATTGAAGGTCAAATCTTAAATATAATGTCAGATTTGAAGTTCTGAAAACATGTACATAGTTTTGAAAAATTGAAGTCAGTCTAAGTATTTGTTAATTTATTGGAAGTTGTAAGAATTTGTTACAGACACCGATCGCCAACCACCAACTGCCAACCGGCTTCAAAATGAACGGAGACCATAACGAAAAAAACTGGTCACCTTGAAGCAAGATGAAAAAAGACCTTTTTGACCTTGAACATGTCATTGAAGGTCAAATCTTTTTTGACCTTGAGAATGTCATTGAAGGTCAAATCTTTAGTCAGATTTGAACTGTTGAGAACTTGTAGATGGTTTTGAAAAAAGGTCAATTTGAGTTGAAAAATGACCTTTTTGTAACCTTCAGAAGGTCATTGAAGGTCAAATCTCGAATCTAAAGTCAGATTTGAACTTCTGATAACTTGAAGATGATTTTGAAAAAAGGTTAATTTGAAACAAGTTGAAAAAAGACCTTTCTGAACCTTGAAAAGGTCTTTGAAGATCAAATCTTAAATAAAAAGTCTACCCTGCGTGCAGAGTCTAGTTAAACTACAGAAGACAAGAATTGAAGTCAAACGAATGCAAAGGGTATAAAAAGTCGGATTTGAACTTCTGAAAACATGTAGATGATTTTGTAAAAAATTGAAGTCAGTCTAAAATTTGTTAAGTTATTTGAAGTTGTAAGAATTTGTTACAGACACCGATCGTCAACCGCAAACCACCAACCGCCGTCAAAAAACGAACAAAAAGATGAAATATGAAATCAAACTATATTATTTCAAACATTTATCAAAAGTGTCATAGTTTTAGATTGATTCTGTCGTAATGTTTCATTTTTCTTTTCATAACTCTCATTTTAAATATTTAATATGTCAATAAACGTTAATATGTATACCTTGTGGATACGTAAATCAAAAATAAGTGAATCACTTCAAGTTGCCCATTTAATCTTATGGCATGTGGAATGTAACCATTTGATTCATTCTGTAATTTTTATCTTATGTGTATGATAGATAAATTAATTAAAGAAAACGTTAGAAAATGAATATGATGTTGGATTATTTTTACAACTTTATGGAATGTAAAATTAACAATCAACAAATGTAATCTGAACTTAACCCAAACCATAATACATTCATAAATAACTACTACAGCAGTTACGGTCACTGGTTTCCTTACCTATTTGTACTGAACCCATTAACTGTGAAAAGTATGTGATATATGGAGTGACAATGATCCGCCCATAACTGTGGGAGGTTAGGCATGTTATGGTATCACACTCTGGTGGTTTTACCTTATCCTCTAGACTGTATCATTATTTATTCCTAAATAAAATTGAAAACTCTTATATGATGAATTATATTGTATAATTTTGTATTATCATCATTGGGTGATGACATGCAAAGCTTTATAACAAATAAGTTTCAGCAAATACATTATGGAGGTCATTAATGGTCGTGATGGAATATGATTTACTCGGTAGATATCATATTGACCCTCGCGCTATCGCCCTAAGTCAATATCATATTTTCTTTACCCAATATCATATTTACGCTGGGAAAAATGCACATTCCACCCCTCCCATTAATAACCTTCATTTTTATATCACTGTCATATTCACTCTCTCATTGGTCCATATCCCAAGAAAAATAAAAAAAATGAGCAAATATTTTATTCTGTGGAGGGCAATACATGCATCAGGTATTGCCCGAAAATAGAATGAAACATTTGTTTTATGAAATGCATTTCAAAGAAATATAGAATATTCTTTTAACCTGTGTGAACATTTATTTTACAGTAGTCGATAAATAAATGATGAACCCATTAAATTAACAGAATTACCTACACGTATCATTGTAAGTACACCTTTATTTTCGTCCATACCTATCCTTTGGAAATTTGGAGCCATTAAAAATGAAACCTAGTTAAATTTCAATCAAAATTTTGAGTTTTTTCATCGCAGGTTATGTAAATAAGAATTCAAACATAAAGAGGCTTTAGCACGTAGTTCAATGAGGGAGCTAAGGTTGCCAAACTTTTGGAGGGGAGTGTATGTTGTTTCCCAGTGGTAAAGTGTTAAGTTTTTTCATCGAAATCAAATAGAAATCATATGTAGAGGCTAAAGTGGCTACGACCCCCAAGAGGGAGTATTGTTATAAAGGCTTAAACGTCCTTTATATTGAGCATTGAGCTTGAGTTATTTTGGAGTTGGTCCTAAACTCACTCAAACCGAAGGCCTGTGGTATGTCATGGTAAGTGACAATGACTGATCACTTACATAAATACATGTAGATCGCCTTATAAGGCATGGAATGTAAATTGGAGATGGTTTATTTAAATTAAAAAATAACATAAATCTATACCACAGTATTACAAAGTGAATCTGTACATTGATGTTTTTAGATGTTTTGCTTAGTAAAAATAAATCAAAGAGTGTCTATATAACCATTCAAGTATTGAAAACAGTTGTGGTAGGAGATGAAACCTTAAATTGAAGAACAACTGCAAAAGCATTCTATGCTCTCTAGACATATAATTCTTATAATCAGCAGTTTCTCGGGAGCATGTTAATTATGATTCACAAATTACAAAAATTACAACATAGCAAACATTGACTAAAAACCAAGAAGTTTCCATCTCATATAGTAATAACTATCAAAAGGATAACACAGAAAAGTGTGTGAAATGGAAAACAATTGTGGCCGCCTCAACACAAAGATAGTAGAGGGTGAGCCAAGAAATGTAGCCCAAACAAATGTATGTTAATATCTCAGCATTCATATTTAGCATAATTAAACCTTGTTCAATGTTCTTTCCTTCTATTAATCCTCCATTTTCTTTCTCCATTTGTCACGATTTATGGCCACGTACAAAACATGCCCCAAATGCCGAAATGTGCGACGCTGACAGGACATAAATTTAAAGCTCATCAGATTTTCATCTCTAATGTTAAGAAAAAAGACATACGAAGGAAATGAGAGTCATAATACAATTCCTGTGCACGTGTAGTGAAAAGCTACCCCAAATGATTTAAAATAGACCAAATAAACTTTTCAGAATGAAAGAATATTTGTTGGGGCTACCTTTTTGGCTCACCCTGTGTATCATTTATTAACCACAGAATTGCAAGAAGGCATCTCAGATCACTCCAGTGCAGAGAAGCTCATCTATAACAGAGATACACTTAATTGGTCTACAATAATCCAGATGACTTCTGTGAAGTTTGAGCATCCTCCTTCTCCAACTTCACCATCTTAACAAACGAAAATACCGCAAAAAATAAAAAATGAAACCAAACACGAACAAATCAACAACCCCCCCCCCCAAATAAATATAATATTAGTATAAAACATACCTGACAATAAAGTACAAACAATGAACCAAACAATCAATCCTAATTTCAACAATGAACCGACCACACCCTGATGCAGGTTACCAATACGCATAGGCCTAAACCTCCAAAGGAATTAGAAATACGGGGGAATCAAAATATTTGACAATACGGAGTACAAAACCTAGTCAAAACCTCAACCAACAGACACGACCACACCCCTCCCCCCTAAATTAAACAGATAGAAGACACCAAACAACCAGATAACCCAAACAACCATACACCAATTGAACAATAAGCGGCATATTCACATACTAACATAAACAACACTCGAATAATGGCATCAAGACAATATATATAATAGGATTTTATGAGTACTGATGCCCTTTTAGGTCCAAACGTACTAAACTAAATTACATAATAATAGGATTTATTTGTAAACTACTTAAACAGCGAATCCTGCATGAATCCTGGAGGCAGGATTCATACAGGATTCATATGCGCATATGGGGATTTGATTCACTTTTTTTGCTGTGACACCACATTAACTATGCAATTCAATATTTTATGTTTTGCAACCAATCTCTTAGTAAAAGTAGTGTGGGAATTATGTCTCAGAGTTCCACAAATAATTTGATTCCACTCTAAGATACAATTTAAGCATGCATTATGAATATTTCAGGAAATCTCACTGACTGGGACCAAGATATATTGCAAAACTAAAGACTCAAAGTCTTGAGACAAAGCATTTGTAGCTAAATCATTCAATAATTCATTAAGTTCTGGGCTTAAATGCGTTAATCAAATGACAGATGTAAACTCTTGACGACGAAAAGGGATAAGTTAAAATTATGGTATGGCAAATGACTTTTTAGACAGGTCACGGGTATTTTGGTTTGGTCCCCAGTATAGTAAAAGTATCAATTTGACTCCACCCTATCTCCACATTATGGTTTAAATTTAACAATTGCATTAGATAGTGTTGAAAAGACAAACAAATAATAAGTTTAAAAATCTATTTCGAAAGTTCAAATACATAATAATGAACAGTTTTTTTTATCTAAAAATGATTGAATTCAAAACCTAACTGCTCATCAATCTATCGTTAAATAAGAAGATTAAGCTACACTTGAGTTTCATATCAAACGTGTACGTAAACGTGTAAAATTATGGTCCTCTCTGGATTAGTTTTCCCATTTGTAGTGTTTACTTTGCCGGTTGAGTATAAAAGTATGTGGAAAATAATTGTAATTAGATCCCTGGAAAAGTGAATTGAGAGCGGGACAGTAAACTGTAATCCCCGGTGGTCGAAATATTACACACTCACTAGCATGTTTTTTTAAAGCGTGAAGCTTAATCTCCCAATTTTCTTTGAAATGATCATACTAAATGTTATAATCCACAGTATTTTAAACAATATAACATATTACACTAAGGTTTCCCTCTGCAGTGCAATATATTATACACAAGGTGGGCCATAAAATGGGACACTGCACAATTTCTAAAATATTGATGATCACGCAGATAAAGATGGGGAATTTAATGAGCTTTCATGACATGTTTTCATATATCATTTATACCTAATGCTTTAGAAGTTATGGCAATTTCAGATTGTGATATTTTGATTAAAAATTTTATTTATCCACAAATGTAACTACATGCTGATCGATTTTCATTGCACTCGGTTCTCATTCAATATTTTAAGAGTATATGTAGGTGTCCCATTTTTAAGCCAGTGCATATGTAAAATTAAATGTCAATATCTATGTTCGATTTTGTTAGGTCCCTCTCACTCCCCCTAATTATATACAAAGGCCATATTTAACTACTTCCAAAGTGAAATTGATTTATATTTTGTCCAAGTATCGAAGTCGAATATATTGTTGCCAAAGTAAATCGTCCGAACGAATCATGACATGATCGCGTAGAGGGGTTCAGAAGTCACGTACACCAATTAATCGTTTGTTTGCACCTAGTCGACCAGTTTCCCGAACAGCAACTCCCCCACACCCTCTTTGCTTGGATTTAGCCAGAAGTCAAGGAACGCACTGGCGAATTCTTCACGGCTGATGGTGCCATTGCCATCGGTGTCGATTGATTTGAAAGCGGTTTTTGCTTGTCGTGGATCAGCACCAATCAGGTTAAGAAAACCTTCATATCCATCGTAGGAGATAGTGCCATTCTCATCAAAGTCGATGACGTCAAAATAGAATGCAGCGGTGCTACTACAGAGCGATATTGCTGCAACTTTTTCTTTATCTGATTCCGGTAGACCAATTGCAAGTGATCGAAAAACGTTGATAGTAAATTCTTCAACGCTCACTTTGCGCGTGTCACCTTTATTCGGTCCAAGCGCAACAAACTCACACCACATTTCGTCGACGTAATTTCTTCGGATAGCTTCTAACATCGATTGTGATGGCTCAATTTTTCTTTCCTTCATATACGCAGTCATCCTGACGACGATGTCTTCGTAGTCCTTTCGTGTTAGGAAACCGTCGTTATCTCTATCACAGACAGTATGGAATGTTTTCATTTTTTTCTTCCAAATGTCAGATGCTTTGTTTGATGCCATTTCTGTTGCTTTGCCGACTTCGACTTCGATGAATGTTGATATGGTAGATTTGCATAAATATATGTGTTAAATAGGAGTGCGAGTGCTCATGCGCAAGCAACTATTTTTGGATTACAAAGTTATACAACGGCTGTCCCATATAAAGTCCTGGATAAGATGTTTTAAAGCTTAGGATTTTACACAATGATTTTTCAAAAATAGTACATTTTGCTTATTTAGAAAATGATTTTAGCAGTTTCCTGAATTTCTATTTGGATGCTCAGATAATCTAAAGACGCCTCGTGTTCTTCATGATCAATTCATCAATATTTTTGTTCGTAATTTTCCTTAAAATGTCATAGACCAGAATCATATGAAACACTCTAAAAAGGCTCTTGAAAGTGAAAATAGGCCTACTTTAGTACTTATAGTTTAACGAGTCGGCGGGATACCTGTATCAAAATACTCCCATATACTGTATATAACAAAAGATTTGTGAGATTTAACATGGTAAAAGGCATAAATCTGACAATTAATTAAAAGAATATTCTTCATTACCTAACTAGTTCAATTGTAGCCAGTGTTGATCACTACATGAATAGTTGTCGTCAACTTGTCAATATGCCAGGCTGGAACTTGCCAACCAGTCTAGTGTTTTTGTAAATACCTTTTACATACAGATTGTACTTTATCTGGTTTGATTAAACTTGTTGAAGTGCCAATAATCCCCAAATAACAATCATCTCCCTATTTAAATAGATGTTTTAGTCATTGGTTCAGTTAATAGGATCTATATTCTCATCTCAACCGATCGTATGAAACAGCGAAATCAGAATATATCTTACTAATCCACAACACGGTTAAATGTTATGAAAATCAGATCATCCTACAGTCGGTTCGGGATATTGGTATTATCCCTTAGTCAATAATATATCTACCCTTGAGACATTAAATTTTCAAAATATAGTCCAATTTTTGGTTTTAGAAGCCTAACATTTTTTTCGCGCAATTTTTTCCTGACTTGAAATGTGGCCGCCCTCCCGTAATGAGCTTCTTGAAAGTAATGAGCTAAATTCTAAGTTTCATGTCTCAAACCCTCCTAAGCGGTAGACAAATAATTCCCGTTCACTCTTAGTAGCACAATTAATGAATCCAAAGCTTCATACCTGCAAATGATGAATAAATTCCTACCAACAGTCAAGTCGAGTAACTAAGTCAACATTCGAAAATAAAAATCTCAAAAATCGTACTTCTTTGATTTCCAAAATAATTTGTGAGGTGGTTATTAAGATGATAATGCACATTTTAACGTATTAATTTTGAGTACATCTCGCATCCATTCTCAACAAAGCGTTTTCGAAATAAGTATTCGAAATGTTTCAGTTCGGGATGATAAAAGTACGTTAAGATATACCCGCTCCTTAACAAATTCCTTTGGGAACAAGATACAGAATCAAAAGCATATTCTTCATATTTACACCCTGACACATGCCAACGAATGTTACATAAGTAAATATCTCCGTTTAAAATAATTTTGTAAACGTTGTTCTCTACAGGTGCCATTTTTATAATTGAAAAACAAAATTGAACATTTTGCATTTCTAAATTGATAAGTTTCTTGGAATACAACTTAACCGTTTACGATTTAAGTCATTAATAACATTTCCATTAGTGATCCCATTCTAAATAGTTTTGTTTTCATGACTTTTAAACATGAGTCGACAATTCGTCGCGTGAGAATAACTTTGTACTAACTGCCTCTTTCAAAAAAATTGAATTTTACTATTTAAAACACAGGCTTTCATCTCAGATACATGCCCCATCTCAATTCCCTCTCATTAAGCTAGAATTCAGTGTGAAATTGTACCATCTCCAGACAAACAGCTTATTTCTAATTTCAAATTGTCATATCTGATATCAACTGTTTCAACCAATCAACTCTCTAAGAATTGGTCATGTGACTTGAAAAACTTGGAGTTATAACAATCTTATATTAAAACGAAGTATGCCAATATGCATGTTATTCTATCTAGCATGAAATAATGTTTTGTAACACAATACCATGCCAGTTTGCATGCCTGGCCTTTCATGTTTTAGTTTTAGAACTATTACAAGTAGATCAAAAAAATAAAATGATACAGTATGTGTAATCCCATGCATATTCAAATTATATGCCCTCAATTACTCTTTGTATTAGGGATGCTCATTGTATTATTCATGGCCACATGATATGAAATAGAATGTCTAATTTCCTCGAAAACCTAAATCCTTGCTACCAGGGAAGATGAAAAGTACAAATGACCAGTTAATTAGATCATGTGAGCAGTCAAAAGTACCCTTTATCTTCCCTGCTACCAGGTCTTATGGGGGTTTGAATGGCCAAATGCAATAGAAATGCATATACGAAGCTGTCATCATTAAATGTTGAAAATGACTACTTATTTGTTTCTTCAAATAGAGTACATAATAATAGGTTATATACTAGATATAGTAATCAAAACAAATACTAGTAGTAACTGTCATATTTTGCACTACATTGCTCAAAGGCAATCACTGTCTTTATACTATTGAAATCTCTTTCAAAATGATGTTTTATAGTTTGTGGAAAAAAGCTAAATCTATTTAAACTAGCTTTAACTTTTACTGACCATACACTATATCAATAAGGAGTTATCTTTATGTTAGTATAGTCCCTTAAAACACTTATTTTATTTTCTCTTCATCTATGATTTACTTTGCGCTTTTCACTGAACATCTGGGATCTTTTTAGTTATTTTATTACTAGTATGTTTTTCAGATTTGTCCTTTCTTTTGCATTTTTGGGATCATTGTTTTTAGATCATCTACATTTTATTTTGGAAAAGTAACAAATTGGTTCAATTTCTTTACAAAGAGCCACTCTTAGTCTGCACTTCTACAATTGCTTCAATTCCCAATTGTACTCCACAGAGTAGCAAACAACAGAAAATGAATGGATAATGATAGCTGCATCCCAATGAACAAAATGTGATTACCTAAATCGAGGTTTCATCACTTTCATTAATCTAAAATGAATTAGAAATTATTTTTCAATTTTCAAATTTCTTCCATGTGCATGTAATAAAAATTGGTTATGTCTTAGGCCCTAAGGATCTGAAACCTGCTGGTCAAAATGGAATTACGGGCCAGTTGCAATGTTATTCTCCTATACCCAGTGAAAAAATCAACTGGTCTGTATCAAAAATAACCTGATAATGACCAGTGGACCGGCCCTCAGGGGCTACATTGTAATGTGCTGGGAGGTTTAGGCTACAGGGTTTATACCGAGGGAAATATGTGGGGGACCGTATTGGCATCATTGGTTTCAATGCATTGTACTTCTGCCTTAGTTTCAAAGGCAATAAATTCTTTTTGAAGGGTGTCCTGAGATTCCAAAATTAAGAAATAATTGTACTTATTTGAGAAATTGATTTTAAAGTTTTATAAATTGAATTTTCTTTATTTTATTAAATAATATTCTTTGGTTTTTGAAGATTTTTTTACAAAGCAAAACATTATTTTTCATTCTAGATACAATAACATGCATATTGGCATACTTTGTTTTAATAAAAGATTGTTATAACTCCAAGTTTTGCAAGTCACATGACCAATTCTTAGAGAGTTGATTGGTTGAAAGAGTTGATATCAGATATGACAATTTGAAATTAGAAATAAGCTGTTATTCCGGTGGGAAATTGTATCAACTCCATTTCCATAGTTTTAAAAAAGGATCTTGTAAATTGTTTCAAGGTATGATATTTCATATACGATATCTCTAGGGTGAGACCAGGTGACATACAAAAAATCAAATTTCACATAGCAATACTAAGTAAGATACAGACCTCTAAACTTTCAAACCTTGATTTCTCAGTTCCGTAAAAATGTGAGATAGTACAAAGTTATTCTCATGCGACGAACTATCTATCATATTACTCAGATTGGATTAATCAATATTCTCATACTCTCTCTAGTTTGTATGAATGAATGACCCTAAACATCATGTAAAGACTTCTCAGAAAATGTGCCCAATATATTACTCTAAATCATACATGTCATAGGAGCTTTGAAAGGAGGAGGGAAATTAGCGCAACAGATTTTGGACAGTCATATGTTGGATTTTGGCCATTTTCTGAGGATTTAAACAATTGCATATGTTAGGCCAATGCATTACCTCCAGGAAAATCACTTCTAGAGATGATAAAATAATTTTGACTTTGAGACAGGGTAGATGCAAACAACCCACCCACATGTTTTTTCTGAAATGTTTTCCTAATTTTCGACCCCTTCCATCCCTGCTTTTTTTAATTTTTCTTGCATCAATATGTTGCATTTTGACACATAGTTAACCACTTTAAAGGAATAAGTGATTCCTTCAAGGGTTTTAAAGATACTCATTATGGGTGACCAAACTTAGCTGAAAGCAATGATTTTTCCTATTGGAAAATAACATGGGAAATATCGTTTTCCACTTTTTCAGAGGGCTGAAAAGGTTATTTCATCATGTTTATGGTCATTCTGACCATTTTCCTTGTGTTCCCAGTCATGTAAATGATATGTGGAACTAATTAAACTGACTGGAGGTCCAAACAGAACTCTGTTATCTTGATTCAAAAAATTTTCAAAATCCAACATGGTTTTGACATTTTTTGTTTTGTCATTTCCTGTTAACTTCCATAGCACCTTAATTTGAATTTCCAAGTAAGATTTTTTAGAATTGTGCCTGTTTGTGAAATTTAGTCAATAAACTAACCATAAATGTCTGCAATAATAGAAAAATCAATAGTGATTTTTTGGGCATTTTGGTAAAGCCTTTGGTTTGTAATGGGAAGATTGTCTTTATCACTAGAACTGTTCTGCATGGGGTCTTTTGCACAATTGATAAATTAAATACTATACTAATACATTACTATATAGATTTGCAATGTCTAGGTTTTATTCAAGTAACTGACTCCACTGAGTGTGTATTCAAATGTTGTGCTTATAAAATGTATCGACTCCTATACTACCTTTTGAATGAAAATAAACTC